GGCACGGTATGTTAGATATTAAAGGGGTCTACGACGGCATCGAATGGGATCTCTTGGTGTTTGCGGCTCTTCGCATAGGATATCCTCCAGTAGTATTATATATGGACTTGGCCCAGTGTGTTGCGGCGCGCACGTTGGAGCAATTCGGGGCCGCATGCGAGCCATTCCTCGTTGATCGTCGTATTATCCAGGGGCTCAGGTCGGGCGCCAGATTCGCGAAGTGTATGACTCATTATGGTATGGCTCGTATCTCTCGTACCCATCCTGCTCTCGGCCATCGTATATGGATCGACGACTTGTCGCAGAGGATGTCTGGGTCCAGGCAGTCGGCCGTCAAGGGGGTCACTGCGTGTCTGGAGGCCACCTTTAATGAGCTGGCTAAGTGGCACTTGGATGTCTCGCCGAAGTCGATCGCGATTTGTTCCTTCCACGGGGATGCCAAGGAGATCGCCAAACGTTTGAAAGATCAAGGTTTCATTGTTCGGCCACAACTTCAGGGAGCTTATCTCGGGATTGACCAGGGAGGAGGCAGAAGGACGGCTCGGGCTACGCGCACTAAGAGAGTGGCCAAGCACGGTCGTATGCATGCTCGTGTCGTTCGGTATGCGCGCGCTTCACGTCAGTATACTATCACGTCCAGGCTTGAACGGCTCGGAGCACAGGCAGCAGGCAACTACGGGCAGGAGCTCCACGGCACCTTCGGCCAACGTCTTGTATCCTTTCGTAGGAGTTTGGCTGCCGCTGTTTCGTCTGGGGGCCGTGGCCGGTGTCTGGTGCCCACGCTTGCCATTAAAGCGCCTGGGCTGGATCCTGGAATCAGGTACCCTCAGCAATCCTTGCACCTCTGGCTCCAGCAGTGGTTCGCCCGTCCAGAGATTCGAGGACGTGCGCACAAGGCGTGGGCGCGGGTGGTTGGTCATTTCAAAAGCTTGCCTCCCCATCGACGCTCTAGGTGGGCGAGGGGGCCGATGTCCACGGCGATTTTGACTCTTCTTGAACGGGGATGGGATCCAGTATCACCAGTTTGCTGGATCATGGCCGACGGAACGGAGTGGAGGTTTCCAGAAGCTGGGTATTCGGACATCTCGGCTTTAAACGGCACCAAGCTTTTTTTCCAGGATGTTAACAGATCGTCGGAGAGGCTCGTGTGGGCTTCTGCTGAGAGGCATTTCTGTGGGGAAGGTCTTGGGCAAGGCATGGATGTTGTATCTCTGCAGCGGCTTCTGAAGCACCTGGAGCAGCTTCCCCGCGGGCGCAGGCTCTCAGAGTTGTTATCGACGGTAGTTGCTGGAGGGTCGTGGCCGAGGCTCCGTCGAGCTGAGGCCTCCACCAAGGTCCAAGTATGTGCGCTGTGTCCTCGTTGCAAAAGACGCAATGAGTCACCTTTTCATCGAATATGGGAATGCGATCACAACGTCAATCACCCTATCTATACCAAGTCGGACGAGGTGTATATGCAAGCGGCTTCTCAACATGAGTCTGCTCCAGCGTACTGGCTCCGCGGAGCCATGCCAGCACAGTGGACCGTGGTACCCGAGCCGCCTGATGAGGAGGTCTGGTTCCAGACGGGGCTCAACGATGGTGTTGCTGATGGAGTCTTAGGCCCTGGTGAGTGTGCCAGGCCAGTGCTGCTCTTTGGCGACGCTAGTGGCGGGGCGGATTCATCAGACGGGAGGTTCAGACGTATCGGTCTCGGTCTCGCACAGATGGAAAGTGAAACGGACCTCCAGCTGCAAGTATCCCTCTTTGGAGCTCTCCCAGGTGTTGTTCAGACGGTGCCCAGAGGTGAGCTTTATATCTTCTGGGTAGCCTTGCGGCTGACGGAACAATATGTAACGTATGTGACAGACAACCAGATGGTGCACGAAGGTTGGTGGTCTCAGAAAAAATCATCATCCAACTGGAGAGCACGCTGAGTTGTGGGCGAAGATAGGCTTGCTGTTTCATAACACGGGACGGCGACCTGAGCATGTGACAGTGTTATTCACGAACTCGCACCTGGAGGCCGAGGATGTCGTGCATCGAGCGGGCTCTTCTTGGATGACGGTTGGCAATGCAGCAGCGGACACTTTGGCAGGTGAAGGTGCGACCATAGCTCGTATACCTGAAGCTGTCCGCATCGACATACTGGAAAAGGAGCGGGTGTTGTACCTGATCCGCATGAGGATTCTCAGGTCGCACCTCGACGCCATGGAGGCCGAGAAGGCACTGCAGCCGACCCCGCTGAACGGTCGGCACCCGAGGCGAGGAGCTCGGGGACAGAGGGAAGCGGTGGAGCTCGGTTACCCTGCTGCTGCTGCTGCTGCCGACCCCCCGCCCCCTCCCCCGCCTCCGAGCCAGAATATTCTGTCGGCCTTTGAGACGAGCCATGCTCTGTCGGAGTGTGGTAGGCGCTGTCTGCGGTGCCGAGGGTCCGCGTCGGCTGCGCGCGTCTCGGTTTGGCGTAAGTCTCCGTGTTTCAGGTTAGTTGCCCTTGATAGCTCCCTTCGTGCACTTCCTGAGGGGGCCACCATTCACATTGCTGGGGGGTTTGTGGACCCCTCCCATTGTATGAGGTTTCACGCCGAATTAAAGATTTGGTTTTGTGCGAGTTGTGGGATGTATGGGGACCAGCAGCTTTGCGGCCTTGGGAAGGTTTGCGTCCCCCGCCCCACCGCGACGAGGAGTGAATATCTTCGTTTGATTAGGTTGGGGCAATGGCCCAAAGTCTACAGTAAAGCGGAATTAGCTCGTAAAGCCCTGAAGAGGTGTAGGTGATGAGTGGAAGGACTACGTCCAGGGACTCCAACTCCAACTCCAACTCCTCCTCCTCCTCCTCCTCCTCCAGGACATGATCTTCATCCTGAATCGTTCTCTGACCAATCCCGGGGCCCCTTGAGGGCCCCGGGAGCCCGAGAACGGCGAGAAACCCCCAGGACCCGTTTCTCTCAGGACTTCTGTGGCTCCCATCGTGCTTGAGGACCACACACATCACAGGAGTGACTCGGAGCACCCAGAAAAAGGTATCGAAAAAGTGTCGAACGGGAATCGCCTCCCAGGGCCCGACGCGTGAAAACCGTCCAGCTTCGGTACTTCCCCGGTGCTCGACATTCTTCCTAGCGATTAAGGCTAAAGTAGGGTGGAGGATTATAACTCGGGAGCCCTTTCCCCCATGGCGATCAGGAATCGGATGTTGGAGGCTTAGAAATGGGCACAACACCAACATCGAGGGTTGCCTCTATCAGGGGAGGGTGATCCTAGATTTTGGCGTTGGTGGTAATATTTTCGGCCACCATGGAGCCCCGAATATAGTACCACCAGCGCCGAGATCGGGATCATCTCTCCTCGGTGGAGGCGCATCGCCGATATTGGTGTCGGTGTCAACCTCTGGGCCTACGAGGATGGGTCTTCGGGAGCGGCCAAGAGGGGGGTGTCCAAGAGGGGGGGGTGCAAATCGTGACTGGCGGCATGTGCGCGGCCCAGCGGCGGGGCCAGGGACGTGATGAAATCAGAAGAGGCGCCATGAAATCTGGGGAAATATCATGGCCCCCGCTATGAATTCCCCCCCCCCCAGTCATCACCCCCTCTTTTCCGCCCCCGAATTGGTGTCGGTGTCAACCTCTGGGCCTCCGAGGGTGGGTCTGTCCAGGTTCCGCCCGGGTGCCCTGTCGGTGCCCGGTCGCGGGCACGTCGCTCGCCATCGCTCGGAAGTCCATTCCCTGATTCCCCATATTTTCCCATATCTTCTGGGTTTTTGTCTTCCCCCCCACTTCCCATATTTTCCCATATTTTCCCAGGGGTCGACGATTGTCTGTGTGTTTTTTCCCTCCTGATGAAGTCGGGCCTGTCCCTCTGCAGGAGGAATATGCAAAAACAGTCTTCCATTAGTCTGGGTACGATTGTTTCCATATTTGTTGACCATGTTGGGGTGTGTTTTGGCTATTTTGGATTCTCGTCCAAGATCCCCCTGTAGAAGGACAGGCCCGACTTAACACAAAGCTTACACCGCATAGCTTCGAAGAAGGAAAAGCAACAGAAACATACACTTTCGACGGTCCGCGCGGATTTCTCAGATCGGCGCTGGGGTCCCCTGGCGGCGCCTCTGGCGCCGCCCCTGGCGAGCTCCGCGCGCCAGGGAGGTGGCTTCAGCGCAGATCCAGGATATTCGCGCGGACCGTCAAAGCCTGTTTATGCCGCGGTCTCTTCTCCGATTGCTGGCACCACATAGCTCACACCGCTCAACCTGCACTGAATGATGGGCCCCACACAGTTTACACCACACAGCTTGCACCACCACGTAGTTTACTCCCGACTTCGTAATAAAAGTGAGGGGGTCAAAACCCTCCCAGACCAGAAATCCTGGACCCCCCCCAGATCGTCCATGAAAGAGCGGACTTTTGCTCAGACCTCCCCGAACCCTCCATGACGTCTCAAATCGGACCCCACCAACAAAGTGTGACCCCCACCACTTGATTATGGAATCCAGAGTACACATCCACAGGCCGGAAACATCTGCTCAAGAGGATCGCTGGCAAACATTGCTTCTTCTGTCAGTTTCCCTGTCTGAGCGCCCACCGAAACCTGGCAAGCTGCACCCTCGAGGGACCCCTCTGGTCATTCGTCCACGTCAAGACTTGAGCTAAACAATGTTTTGTTGCGTTTCCGTGTTTCCTCTTTTTCTGCCTTCGCTCCACCTTCGCTGCAAAACGAAATCAAAACGAAAACGGCCCACAAAACAGCCAAAACACCGTTTAGCTCGAGCCCTGCTCCACGCCTTGGGGTGGGAGGCGACAGGGTTCGTCACAGAAGGTTCCTTCCCGTCGCGGAAGGGGCCTGCTCGGCCGCGCCCGAGGGGGCGGGGAACCCGAGGATCCAAGCTGTGAACGTTTCTACTTCGGAAGAAGCGGGTAGAAACATGAAGCAGGAAGAGGTTGAAGGTAGGTTGGACTTCCGCCCGCCCCCCGAGGACGAGGGCGCGGACGCCCCCGAAGAATCGTGGCCACGCACACACAGTTCCCTGTTCATTGCTTCGTCGGCTCCTGGAAGCGGCAGCTCAGGCTCCAGGCGTCGCCCCCAGCGCTCGCGGGCGCCGGGGGCGCAAGGAGGTGCACGGCCAGCGCGCGCGCGCAGCGGAGAAGCTCGCGGAGGTGTGCCGCGCCGGCCGCCAGCGCCGGGGAGCCCGCCGCACCGCCCGAGCCGGCGCAGTCCACCAGGGCCCACCCGTCCTGCGAAGGAACCGACAGTGGAGGCCTCCTACGTAGGAGGAGGAGGAGGAGGAGGAGGAGGAGGAGGAGATCACCAGGAGATCACCACTGAGGACCAGTGTCCTTGCCTTGCCAGAACCAGGGATGTGCACCCACATCAAAGCAGCGATCGGGCCACTTCAGGCGCCCCCTGGGGGCACGGGTGCAGGCCCTTAGAAATTCGCACGAGGTTGCACTGTCCCTTCTTGGAGCGCGCCGCTCCCGTGACGGCGGGCCCGCAAGGGCGCGAGAGGTGGCGTCCGAGGAGGAGGAGGAGGAGGAGGAGGAGGAGGAGGAGAAGGAAGAGAAGGAGGAGGAGGAGGAGGAGGAGGAGGAGGAGAAGGAGGAGGAGGAGGAGGAAGGAGGAGGAGGAGGAGGAGGAGGAGGAGGAGGAGGAGGGAGGAGGGAGAAGGGCGGAGGAGGAGGAGGGAAGAGGGAGGAGGGCGGAGGAGGAGGAGGGAAGAGGAGGAGGAGATGGGGTCGGACCATCGAGCGGCATCGTCGATGTATCGGCGACGTCGGTGGTGCATCAGCGCCGCAAGCGCGGAGAAGATCGGGCTCCACATCGAGCCGCATCGCCGATGCATCGGCGATGCGGCGCGATCCTCCGACCCCGTCTACTCCGACCCCCATCTGGGAGGCCTCAACAAAAACTGCACAAGCGTACTAAGGAGCTGGAAGCACACGCGGCTGGATCCTCGTGTGAGCGGCGAAGAAAAACGGGCCTTACGCACCATGACATGGCGACCTTACGCGGTGGCTACCGCGGGCCGCCAGCGCGGCACGCTGCAGTGGAGACGAGGGAACTCCCGCGAGACCCTACGCGGGAAGCTCACGCTCGAATGTTGGCGCAATCGACCCCGCTCTCTTCCGTCGCTCAAAGTGGCTGGATCCACATGTGGAGCACCTGGGGGGCACGTGCTCGATACACAATGCAGAGGGCCAACCAGCTTGGCGGCAGCGAGGGCCAGGCGCTAGACAGACAAATGACCGCGCGTGCATCCAGCTCTCGCGCCCAGGCCAGCGAGTCATGTGAGCGCCAAAAAGAATATTGCGCAAGATGGCATGGCAAACTCATGCCGCGGCTTGCGCGGGGCGCCTGCGTGGCACACTACACTGGAAACGAGGGCGCTCACGCGCGACAGCACGCGGGAAGCTCACGCGCCAATGTCGGCGCAGTCGACCCCGTTTGGTCCTGGTGGAATTTCGTAGTTCACTCACCCCTGGCGCGCCCCCACGCACGAAGTCAGGGGGCGCTTGGCGCCGGTCCGGGAAATCCGCGTGGAGCTTCGAAGTGTTCGATGTTGCACGATTAGCAATTAAAGCCCCACCGGCCCTCTGGGTTAGGTCCAACACTTCAGGGATAGGGGGTCTGTGCTGCAGGTGCATCACGCCAGGCCGCCAAGCTTGATGATCCACGATGCCAAAACGGAGACCTAAGTGAGGCTACGCCTTCATTGTGTGAGTATGGGGCGCACGAAGACATACTAGTACTATATGTTCTCCTTGGAGGCGCGCGTCCGACCCAAGCATATAGTATACCCATCTTGTAGTACATCGTTTCCCGAGCGGCGTGGCCAGAAAGCGCCCGGCACGACGCATATACTATAAGATTTCTCGGTGCGCGCGTCGCCCCTAGGGCGGGCGACGCACATATAGTAGAAGTATGTTAGGGTGACGCCGAGATTAGGGTCAGGGGTTCTTTGGTGCTCGATGATTGTATCACCGCTTTCTCAGAAGAGTGCGTCGCCCCGCCCCTCCCTCCTTTGCGGCCGCCCTCGCTGTTTCCACGCTGCCCCTCCGCGCAATTCGCACAGCAATGGCCCCGTTGAGGGTCTGGCGCGAATGACATGGGCCCTCGGGGAAACGGGTCTTGGACCCCAGGGTCTTTCCTCATGGGGCCAGCGTCTCGTCCCGAGTCGTTCCTGTCGCCAAGGCTGGTGGAGGGCCCTGGGGGACCCAAACACAACGAAAAACTCAGAGCCCGCTTCCCTCAAGACCCTATTCCCTCTTAACGAGTTGTACTTCGAACGCCCGAAATGGGTACGGAACAACCGGAGACGATGCACAACAACACATGTGGTTCAGAACAAAGAAAGGCCTCTGAGATGGGGTCCGAGCAGATAGGATCAGAGGATCGCGCCGCATCGCCGATGCATAGACGATGCCTCGGCGATGCATCGGTGATGCACTGGCGATGCATCGTCGACGTCGGCGATGCATCGGCGACGTCGACGTGAAGCTAATCGGGCTCCACATCTGACTACCTACCAGACCACCCCAACCCAACCCGAAGACCCGAATTTGACCCGAATTTCGGGTTGGGGGGGGTACGGGTTCCATGTGTTTTTTCAACGTTCCCCGACCCCCCCCCACTGGAAATGGAGGGCAAATTGATGCCTTCGGGTTGGGTTGGGGTGGTTTGGTAAGTGGTGAACATCGAGCCGCATCGTCAACGCATCGGCGATGCGGCGCGGACCTCCGACCCCGTCTGCTCGGAAACCCCACCTGGGAGGCCCAGCAAACCAACAGCGGCCGCTGCTCGGCTCAGGCAGCCCTCTGCCTCCAACGGCCCACGCGGGCTGCGACGCCGACGGCGCGCCCTGCTCAGAACGAGAGCGCGCCGGGAAGGCCCGCGGTCTCCCTGCCCGCTCTCTCCGTGCCACTTCCGGTCGCACCGATGTGCCCTCGCCCCTGCTGCGGCGAAACGTGGAGGAGGAGGAGGAGGAGGGAGGAGGAGGAGGAGGAGGAGGAGGAGGAGGAGGAGGAGGAGGAGGAGGAGGAGGAGCATGTTCCTCCATGGTCGATGGCCCAAAGATGGGGTCCTGAGGGAGGGGGTCCTAAGGCCCAGGTGCCTCGAAGCACGAAGATCCACCCGTGGGTGCCTTGCTATCCTCAGGACCCCATCCCCTGCAGGGACCCCATCTCGGGGACCACCGGCACGTGGCGCGCTCTGGGAGCCCTGAGCCGAGAAACCTGGCCAGCCCATGGGGGGGCTGCCGCCTCCCAGGAGGAGGAGGAGGAGGAGGAGGAGGAGGAGGAGGAGGAGGAGGAGGAGGAGGAGGAGGAGGAGGAGGGAGGAGGAGGAGGAGGAGGAGGAAAAGGAGGAGGAGGAGGAGGAGGAAAAGGAGGAGGAGGCCCCTCTCCGCTGGCCCCCCGCCCGGCCTCCGCACGCGGAGGTGGCCTCACGAGTTCTGCCCCCGCCTTCCGCCGACCGTCCGCCGCCTGCCGCCGGCGAGAAGACTGCAGCTCCCTCGGCCCTCGCAGGCGAGGCAGTTTCAGTAGGTCGGGCAGGCGGATTCAGAAAATTAAGAAGAGCGCAGAGATGCTCAAAAATAACAAAAAAGAAGTGTACGACAACAACATCAAAAAACGTCCCCTGACTGTGTCCTGACTCTGTCTGAACGCTCCCCCTGCAGAGGGGCATGCCCGACTTCACCCTCGCAGGCGAGGCACCCCCTGGCCCCGCGTCCTGGCACGAGTGGCGCGGCGAGTCGCCCAGGGCCCGCGCGCCGAGCAGCCCGCGCACGTGGTCGACGGCCCCCGGGATGGCGGTCCGCGTGAGCCCGTGCTCGAGGAGGGCGCGGCACCCGCCCGCCGCGGCGCGCAGGGGCTCCCCGAGGCGCTCCACCCGGCGCAGGCGCAGCGGCGCGTCCGCCGGGGACGACCTTCGAGGAGCGCACATACATACGGCAGGGGCCAGTGCGGAAGAAAGAGCTCCCACAAGAGCCCCAATCCTAGGGAGCCCACAGAGGACGTACGCGCCCAGCTATGTGCATGAGCACGGCCCCTCGATCTGCGAGACCGGCCGCGTGATACGAACTTTCGGGCAATGCGTACTCTCGAAACCAGCGTGGATTCATGTACGTGTATGTCATTCTTTCGCTCCTGAAATCCTGAGACCCCAGGACGTCCGCTGATGTTTGGCGTGTGGACGACCTTCGAGAAATGCAAATACGGTCGGACCCAGGACAGAATAACATTTTAGACGGCCGAGGTGGGTACGGAAGAATGGGTACAATGCCCAACAACAGATGTTGTCCAAAACCGACAGCGGCCGCTGTTGGGCAGGCGGCTTTCTGTCTTCAACAAGCAACGTCCGCGGCGGCGCGGACAGCGGGTCCTGTTCAAAATGAAAAATAATTGCTGTTGGGCATCGTATCCTTTCCGTACCAATTTCGATCGTCCCGATCCATCCCTCAAGAACATGAAAGCCTCCGCTGGCCAAGCTGACGAGCAATCGAGGGCACCCTCCCCCAGGATGCACAAGAACACTCCACAGACGCGAGGAACATGAGGGTGCCCTCCCCGAACCTGCCTCGGTCTTATACCCTGTGATCGAAGTTGGGGTGCCCAGAACAAAGGGAGACTTTTTTTGAGTCAGCGGACGCAAGCGAGTCGAGGCAGGTGCAGGCGTGCAGGCGACGGTCGGGCTACGGGCGGGACACGCCGGGAACACACTCTTGGCACAGCAGAGGAGGACGGGACAGGGCGAGGGTAACTACGAATTCCTGCCTCAGAACAAACGAATGAACGAATGGGAAACAAACAATGACACAAAACGCTAAAACTCGGGGGTCCGCGCGGATTCCTCGGATCGGCGCTGGGGCCCTTCTGGCGGCGCCTCCAGCGCAGCCCCTGACGCGCTCCGCGCGCCAGGGAGAGGGTGGTCCAGCGCCGAGGTCGCCGAGGTTGTATGTTTATGTCACTGTTCGTTCCCCGAGGACGGGCTGACTCCGCCCCTGGGCGTGCGTGGCCGCTGTTGGCCCGTCCTCGGCTCGACGGGGGGGGTCCTGGGCGGGGGGTCCCCGGCGGGGCAGCGGCGCGCCCGCCTGAGAGGACCTGCGAAACATGAGAGCAGGATGAGAAACTAAGAGACGGCATGTCTGAGCGACTCCGTTAGCATCGTCGTCCTCGCCCTCATCCTCAACTCAGCCAGAATGCTGGGCTGGCACGGTAGCGGGGCTTGCCGCCGGCAGCTGGAGAATAGAGCAGCGGTGTGAGAGATGGCACGCCTGAAGGCACAAACAACGACATGAAGACACACGTTCGGAGCTCCACCGCGGATTTCTCGCATCTGCGCTGGGCCCCCTGGCGGCCCCTCTGGCGCCGCCCCTGGCGCGCTCCGCGCGCCAGGGAGGGGGGTCTGGCGCCGATCCCGGAAGTCCGCGCGGACCTCCGACAATCTGTACTCGTCGACAAGCGCGTTCCACTACTCGCACAGTAGCTACTCGCAAACAGCCTGGATCCGCCGCGGGGGATCTACGATACATTACGCCAAAGCAAACAGGTGTTGTTCGAACGTTTGCGTTTGGGCACTTTGCGAATAGTGGAACGCGCTTGGCGAGACAATCTGTACACGCCGGTCTGAAGAAGTAGATAAAAACATGAAGTAGGAAGGCGTTGGAAGTAGATTGGGCTTCCACCCACCCCCTGAAGAGGCGGAAAGAAGGGAAACCGCTCGACTCTTGAAGTAGGAAGGCACCTACTAAAGTAGATTAGGATTTGTACTCGTCTTCCTCGCCTACCTTCAACGACCGGCTTGTACTCGTCTTCCTCGCCTGCTGGAGGTCTCCGTGCCGGAGGGGCCCGAGCAGCCGCGCCCCGTCGGGAGCGCGGCGGGGGTGCCCGGCACGTCCCGAGCGGCCGCCCGGAGCCCGAGGGATGGACGAGCCTCCGCATCGGCAGAAGCTGTGAGAATACGGTCGGGCTCGATGGGACAGGACACGCGAGAGGACACAAGACCCTTCTGAGGGCCACACTGCCACAGGAATGTACGAAACATGGGTCGCGAGACACAGGACACAAGGGTGCCCTTGATTTGGCAGGGTCGACCGAATCTGGGCCGACTGTAGGCAAGCGCGTTCCACTACTCGCCGATGGCCTGGATCCGCCGAGTGGAAGTTGCGATCCGTGACATCGGGGCGGACGCTTGCTCTCAGGACCTTTTGCGACCAGGCACTCTGCGAGTGGTGGAACGCGCCAGGCGAGAGAAGGAGCTCTCCGCCCCGGGCCGAGGTCTTTGGACGGTCCCGAGTTCATGTTTGTGGCGTTTTGTCTGCTTCGATTTCTGAGCGGCTCAACTTTTCGGGCGGAACTCGGCGCTCTGGGGGGAAGACTCGCCTGCAACAAATGGCACAAAGACCTGCACGACCATGATCTCGGAGGTCCGAGCCTCCCCTGGCTCGGCAGCGCTGGAGGACGCGGCCGCGCGGAGCGCGCCAGGGAGGGAGGTCCAGCGCCGGTCCAAGAAATCCGCGCGGACCTCCGAGAGCTTGTTTTTTTTGTAGCATGCCGATGCTTCTTCCCGAACGGCGTTTCGCGAAAGGGTTCCCACAGGAGGGACGGGGAGCCCTAGACCGCCCAGTGCGGCAGCAGTTTCGCTGGAGACTTCCTTGTAATATATATATATATATATGAATACATGATATATATATATATATATATATATACACACATATACATATGCCTATATCTAATATCCCCCAATCAGAACTTGCCTCTGTAGGGGTCCTAGCGGATTCATATGGTTAGCTCAAGTTTGTCGCCGATTTTCGCTGCACGCCCGGGTGCCCGGGTTCCCGGGGATGCCCGGGGCCCGGGTGCCCGGGAGGTGCCCGGGGGTGCCCGGGGGTGCCCTATAGACCTATTGCCCTATAGCACAATAGCCCTTTAGCCCTACAGCTCTATAGCCCTATAGCTCTATAGCCCTTTAGCTCAATAACCCTATAGCCCCCTAGCCCTATAGCCCTGATTGGGTATTTCTCCTGTCTCATATATATATATATATATATATATATACACATGAGCGTATACCTACACATATATATATATAGAATCAAAAACCGTGCTCCCGCCTCGATTCCGGCCAGATGCTTTGGCCAGGCGGCCACGATCCCTCGTAATTCGCCTGGCGAAGGACCCGACCATATGCAGGCGCGGGTACCGCCAGACACGTGGAAACTGAGGAAGGGGCCCAGAAACATGAGCAAGGTGTGGGTGACAATCGCGAAGCGGCCAGGTCAGCAATAACGGGTTAGGTTACATCTGAATGTAACCGGTTGCGGCTGGTTTGCGCGTCTGTCGGCGTGGCCTGGTCTCGCGCGCTTCGGTGGAGCTCCCTGGGGGGAGGGGGGCCACGAAACGCGCGACAGGTGTGCCGAAATGGGCGCAGTCACGCGTGCGAGGCCTGCTACTGGGGCCTTCGGCACGATCCTGGTGAGGGGTGTTCCGAGATGGGCGCCGTCATGCATGCGAACCCTGCCACCGGGGCCTTCGGTGGAAGTCCCTATGGGGCCACGATTCTCGTGAGGACTGAGCCGAAATGGGCGCAGTGACAAATGTGATCCTTGCCACTGGAGACGCTGGTGGAACTCCGCATTGGGCCACATCCTCGTGAGGGGTGTGCCGAAGTAGGCGCAGGCACCCATACGAGCACTGCCACTGCGGCCTTCGGTGCAGCTCCCCATGGGACCACGATCCACGTGATGGGTGTGCCGAAATGGGCGCGGTCACGCATGCGAGCCCTGCCACTGGGGCCTTCGGTGCAGCTCCCCATGGGACCACGATCCTCGCGAGAGGTGCGCCGAAGCGGGCGCAGTCACGCATGCGAGCCCTGCCACTGGGGCCTTCGGTACAGCTCCCTGAAGGTCCACGATTCCCGTAAGATGGGAGCAGTCACCCATGAGAATCCTGCCACTGGGGCCGTCGGTGGAGCTCGCTATGGGGCCACGACCTTCGCGGGGCATGTGCCGAGAGGGGCGCGTCCACGTATGCGAACCCTGCCACGGGGGCCTTCGGTGGAGCCGCCAATGGAACCGCGATCCTCGTGAGGGATGTGCCGACATGTGTGCAGGCACGCATGCGAGCCCTGCCACAAGGGCCATTGGTGGAGCTCCCTGTGGGGCCACGATCCTGGTGAGGGGTGTGCCGAAATGGGTGCCGCATGCGAACTCTTCCTCTGGGAAGTCGGTGGAGATCCTCGTTGGGCCACGATCCTCGTGAGTGGTGTGTGAGTGGTGTGCCGAACAGGGCGCAGTCACGCAAGATAGCCCTGCCACTGGGGCCTTCGGTGGAGCTCCCAATGGGACCACGAGGGATGTGCCGAAATGGGCGCAGTCACGCAGGCGAACCCTGCCACTGGGGCCGTCGGTGGAGCTCCCCATGGGACCACGGTCCTCGTGAGGGATGGGCCGAAATGGGTGCAGGCACCCTGCCACTGGGGCCTTCTGATGGAGCTCCCTATGGGGCAACGATCCTTGTGAAGTGTGTTCCGAGGCGGGCGCAGTCACGCATGAGAAACCTGCCTCTGCGGCCTTCGGTGGAGCTCCTTATTGGGCAACGATCCCCGTGAGGGGTGCGTCGAAATGGGCGCAGTCACGCATGCGAACCCTGCGGTGAGGAAGATAACAGGTAAAGATGCCTGGCGCTGTGTTTATCAAAACGAGGACTCAGCATCACAGGATGGAAAGGAACAAACACTATCCTGGCGAAAGACCCAACCACATGAAAGTGCGAATCCCGCTAAGCAGGCGGGACGAAGGAATGGGGAGCTCCCTGTGGGACCACGGAACGCGTGAGCGGTGTGCCGAAATGAGCGCAGCCATGTATGCGAGCCCTGCCACTGAGGCTTTCTGTGGAACTCCTTGTGGAAAAACGAAACGTGTGGTGGGCAGCAGGACGTACGCGAATCCTGCCACGGGAGGCTTCGGAGAAGCTCCCTGTGGGGCCACGAATTGTGTTAGGGGTGTGCCGAAGTGAGCGCGGTCACGCATGTGGGACCTGCCAGTGGGGCCTTCGGTAGCCACGATCAGGCGAGTGGTGTGCCGAAAGTCGGCTGATGATGACGTTGGTGATGATAAAGGTGAGGACATGCGGAGGGCAGATGCATGTAAAGGGACCAAGACCACAGGACGGTTGGGAACTACGGTGCACGTGGCCGTGCTCTCAACATTGCACATGGACTCTCACCACGCTCTCACCATTTCACCTTTGCTGCTAAAAGGGTGCTTTGCTGGGATCTGACGAGGGGGTCTGGCGACCCCAGTCCCCGGCCTCGGCCTGATCTGTCGTGAAGCACTCGAGGATCGGGGGCGAGAGGTCGCATGCGGCATCCTCCCTCGATGCCTCTCCCCTTGGGGGTGGCGATAAATAACGGTAGTACTTGGGCGGGGCGGGACACGTCGGGGCGGGGGTGCGCTGCGTGCGATCGCCATCGCACGCGCGCGAACACTGGCATCATGTTTCGTTGACCCAAAAGGGGGTCCAGCTGAAAGGGGGTGGTGCAATAGATGTGTGGCAACAGTAATGCAAACGTATTGCGCCAAAGAACTGTATTGCATCGTATTGCATGACACGTGTTGCACGCGAACATCCAGCAATACACTTGCGCACCGGAGTGTATTGCACGGTCCAAATCTATTTTGCAACTCTCACAAATCTATTGCACCAAATCTATCACACCACCCCTCTTTCAGATGGACCCCCTTCTGGCTCAACCAGATCCTGGGGCGGGGGTCCCAGCCCCCACCCCCTGCGCACCATCGTTACCTGCAGACAGGAAGGGGGGACCCGGGCAACGACCGCTACGAGCCATAAAATATTATCCCGGCAAAGCAACCTAACAGCGATGTGTAGGAGCATATCTGAAAGCATTCCCCTTAAGATTCAGATGAACGTCCAGTTGCAGAATTCTGCTGTTCTCGCAGTCGTAGTCGCATTCGCGATGACAGTCGCAGCGGCAACGGCAGTCGCAGTCACAGCCTCAACCTCAGCCTGCCTAAGCCTCAGCCTCAGCCTGCCTCAGCCTCAGCCTGCCTCAGCCTCAGCCTCAGCCTGCTTCAGCCTCAGCCTCAGTCTGCCTTCAGCCTCGGCCTCAGCCTCAGCCTGCCTCAGCCTCAGCCTGCATCAGCCTCAGCCTCAGCCTCAGCCTGCCTCAGCATCAGCCTGCCTCAGCCTCAGCCTCAGCCTGCCTCAGCCTCAGCCTCAGTCTGCTTCAGCCTCAGCCTCAGTCTGCCTTCAGCCTCGGCCTCAGCCTCAGCCTGCCTCAGCCTCAGCCTGCCTCGGCCGCAGCATCAGCCTGCCTCAGCATTCAAAATGTGGCCCAGGAACGGAGTTCTGGGAACTAGAAGAACACGAAGTGGCCTACAGTTGGCTCCGGGCATTCAAAATGTGGCCCGGGAATGGAGTTCTGGGAACTTGAAGAGCACGAAGTGGCCTACAGTTGGCTCCGGGCATCCAAAATGTGGCCCGGGAATGGAGTTCTGGGAAGTCGAAGAGCAGGAAGTGGCCTACAGTTGGCTCCGGGCATCCAAAATGTGGCCCGGGAATGGAGTTCTGGGAGGTCGAAGAGCACGAAGTGTGTGAATGTTTGCGAAAAACGAGTGCGGCGGCAGCCGCGGCGGCAGCCGCCCCGGGTCCCGCCCCGACCCCCCTGTGGAGTCATCTGCTGCTCCCTTTTGAGACCACTAGAAACCTATCAGCAAAAGCTGTTAGGTAACAAAACAATCTCCATGCGACTTGGAGGACTGGGCCGGGGGTTCTGAATTGGATGGGCCCCGAGAGAAACGGTCAAGAGGAGGGATGAAGCCAACTCCGCTCAAAATCAATCCCAAAACCCCTCCCAAGATCCATCTGGTGCAATGTTTCACCCCAGATCCGCCTTTGCAGTCCCGGGGCCCGAAAACAGCCCCCTGAGGCCGAAAAAAAAGACGTCCTTGAAGCCAGCGCCTCGAACCTCGCACCCCCTTCCTGCTGGTCGGAAGCAGTGCTGGGCCGCCTCAGTACCCTGGCCAGCTCGAACACGCGACTTTCCTGGACATCCAACCGCCCCAATGTTTTCGATGCGTGGGCCCTGGAGGTCTGGACCACTTTCCCCAGGGCTGTTTTTTTGTCCTGAGTCGTTGTTTGACGGTGCTGAGGCCCGGCGAGGACTCCCGGAGGCCGAAGACGGCAAAAAAACTGGCCGCTCCAACTTGTTCGGAGCGTCGGATCGCCGGTTTCTCTCCCTTGAGGCCTCTCGAGGAAAAGCCTCAGCTGGACCAGGGTCTCCCACTGCCCCGCGCCCTGCGCCACGCAAGCGAGCAGCGGGCCACTGTGCCGAGCCACCTCTGCCTCAGCGGGGGGCGCGGGGCCCGTGTGCAGCGACTCGGGGCGCCGGAGCGACGCCTCCGCCAGCCAGCGGAAAGACGGCATGGACTCGACGCCGATGCAGGCCTCGGGCTGCCTCCTCCTCCTCCTCCTCCTCCTCCTCCTCCTCCTCCTCCTCGGTCCGCCTCCTCCTCCTCCTCCTCCTTCTCCTCCTCGGTCCTCCTCCTCCTCGGTCGTCGTCCTCATCCTCCTCCTCCTCCCTCGTCCTCAACCTCGTCCTCGTCCTCGTCCTCGTCCTTGTCCTCCTCCTCGTCCTCCATTCCTTCTCCTTCTAAATAACTTCTCCCTGTCGCACCCCGAGGCCAGTTGTTAGGGCGGGCCAAGCGTTTCGCTTGAGACGCACTCACCTTGTACGACCCAAGCTCAAAAAGTGCCAACAGCTTGACAGATGGAGGGCAGGCCGTTTTCAAAAAATGTAACTCTCGCCTTAGCGCCGCGCGCACTGGTTTTCAAACATTGCAAGGGTTTCACGGATTGAGGGCGAATCGTTTTCAAAATGTAGCTCTCGCCTTAGCGCCGCCTACATTCGTTCTTCAAACTTGCAAGAGTGTCACAGATTGAGGGCGACCCGTTTTCGAAATGTGACTCTCGCCTCAGCCGCGTACGATCATTACATTATTGCAGGCGTTTCACGGATTCCCATGCTCAACGTACCAGAAATAGCGTTTTGGGAAGATCCAGGATTTTGAGGGTGCAGCACTTACGTTCAGTCGCGGTGCAAAGTCCCAAGAATGGTGTTCTGATAAGATTCAGGATTGTCAAGACGCAACAGTCAGGTTCATCCGTGGCGCTGAAATCCTGATAACAATGTTTTGATCTTCAAACGGTTGTCTTCCAACGAGGCAGTTGCCTCAGTGGAAATGAACCTCTGCAGGGGCCTATGAAGAGGGAGGTTAGTGGGAGGGTTGATTCAACATCGTTGATGACTCTTGGGTGTGCAGTGTTCCTCCTCCTCCCCCACCTCCTCCTCCTTCTCCTCTTCCTCCTCCTCCTCGGCCCTCCTCCTCCTCTTCCTCTTCCTCCTCCTCATCATCACCCAACTCCACCTGGGTCCTCTCCCTCCTCCTCCTCATCATCATCAGAATCATTATCATCATCAGCATCATCATCATCAACAACTGCATCAGCAACAGCATCATCACCATCATCAACAACATTAGCAGCATCGTGAACTTCATCAGCATCAGCATCAGCATCAGCATCAGTATCATCATCATCCTCTTTATCATCAGCATCATCCGCATTAGCAGTATCAGCGTGATTTCATCAGCATCATCATCAGCATCAGCAGCATCATCAGCAGCAGCATCAGCTCAGCATCAGCGTCATCATCATCAGCAGCAGCATCGTCAACATCACCATCATCACCATCGTCAGCTTCATCACCATCGTCATCATCAGCGTCAGCAGCATAATCAACATCATCAGCATCAGCATCATCATCACCACCATCATCATCATCAGCAGCAGCAGCCTCATCATCCTCTTCGTCCTCCTCCTTTTCCTCCTCGGTCCTCCTCCTCCTCGTTCTCCTCCTCGGTCGTCCTCCTCCTCCTCCTCTTCCTCCTCCTCCTCCCTCTCTTCCTCCTCCTCCTCATCATCATCAGCAGCAGCGGCAGCAGCAGCAGCAGCGTCAGCATCACCATCATCACAATCGTCAGTTTCATCATCATCATCATCAGCAGCAGCAGCATCATCAGCATCATCGTCCTCATCAGCATCAGCATCATCAGCATCAGCGTCAGCATCATCATCATCAGCAGCAGCAGCATCATCAACATCACCATCATCACAATCGTCAGCTTCAGCATCATCATCAGCAGCAGCATCAGCATCATCGTCATCGTCAGCAGCAGCATCATCAGCATCATCGTCATCATCATCACCACCATCATCATCAGCAGCATTATCATCATCATCACCATCACCATCACCATCGCCATCACTAGCATCATCATCATCATCGTCATCATCAGCATCACCATCATCAGCATCATCATCAGCAGCATCATCATCAGCATCATCACCATCATCTTCCTCCTCCTCCTCCTCCTCCTCCAACTCCTCCTCCTCCTCCTCTTCCTCCTCAGTCATCGGTCCTCGGTTCTCGGTCCTCGGTCCTCCTGCTCCTCCCCCTCCTCCTCTTCCTCCTTCTCCCCGTTCTCCTCGGTCCTCTCCCTCCTCTGCCTTCTCCTCTTCCTCCTCCTCCTCCACCCCTCTTCCTTCTAAATAGCTCCTCTCTTTCGCACCCCTAGGCCTGTCGAAAGGGCGGGCCCGCTGTTTCGTCGGAGACTTCCTCACCATGTATGATCTTGAAGCTGAAAGTTGCAACCGACTGAGGGCGGCTCCTATTAATGACCAGACAGTGCCCGCCAAGACACACATATACTAGCAGGCTTCTCGGTGCGCGCGTCGCCTCTGGGGGGGCGACGCACATATAGTGTAAATATAAGCATGTTGGGGCGACGCCGACAAGGAGCCTCCAAAAGGTCCCCAAGACGGCCTAAGTGAAGGGGCCCCAGGACACACAAATAAATACACACAAATAACAGGATTCCCCATATTTTCTCATAGTTTCTGGGTGTTTGTCTTCCCCCCCACTTCCCATATTTTCCTGGGAATCGACGATTAATTGTGTCTGTGTTTTTTCCCTCCTGACTAAGAGCTCCCCAAAACGGCCCACGAGGCGCCCCGGCTCAGAGGGCCCCCAGACGGCCCCAAAAAGGGCCTTGGGGAGGCCCCACGAGGCGCCCAGGAGGCCTCAAGAGGGTGCCCGGGCGGCCCACAGAGGACCCCAAGAGGCCCCAAAGAGACCCCACGAGGCCCCCAAGAGGCCCCCAAGAGGCCCCCAAGAGGCCTCGAAACTGCCTCCAAGAGGCACCCAAAGGGCCCCCCACGAGATCGCAACGAACATCCAATAGGCTTCATGCCCACAACCCAGGCATGGTGGCAGAATGGGCCGAAGGCCATTAGATCCGTCGACCGCCCCCTGATGGCTTGCCACAAGGGTGCCTGGTGTGCTAAAGCCTCTACGGTTTGGCCCGATTCTTTTCCAGAGGAACTCCCCCTGAGGCTCCGGTCCTTTGGACCGGCCACCCGGAAGGAACTGGAAACAACCTCAACGTCCCCAACAAATCCCTCAAGCCGGCTCAAGATGGCCTCTCCGACGGGCAAGATGTCTCAGGATGGCCTCCAAGATGCCTCCCAAACTGCCAAGATGGCCCCAAGAGACCCCAACGTGGCCCCAAGATGCCCAACCTGGTCTCAAGATGGCCTACGACGGCCCGAAAGATCCTCAAGAGGCCCCCAAGAGGCCTCCAAGACGGCCCAAGAAGCCAACAAGAGGGCCTCCATGAAGACCCGAATATTGTTTTGCCTTTGTTTTTGTGAAGGATTTGACCATTTGATTTTTTTCTGCCTTCCGACAGCCCGGGACGACCCAAGAGTCCCAAATATTGCCCCAAGATCGCCAAAGAGGCCTCCAAGAAGATGGCCCCAGAACGGCCCAAGAGGCTCCCAAGACGGCCCCAAGAGGGCCCCAACCAAGACGGCTCAAGAGGGCTCCAAGACGCCCAAGATGGCCTCCAAGACGGCCCTGGAGCGCTCCAATGGGGTTCCAAGTCAGCCGAGAGAGGCCCCCAAGACGGCTTCCGACGGCGTCCAAAGAGCCCCCCGAGAAGTCCCCAAAGGCCCAAAGAGGCCCCTCAAGGTGCCTCATGAGGCTCGCAGGAAGCTCCCAGGAGGCCCAAAGAGTGTCCCCAAAGGCTCCCAAGATGCCCCCCCCTCCTCCTCCTCCTCCTCCTCCTCCTCCTCCTCCCTCCTCCTCCTCCTCCTCCTCCTCCTCCTCCTCCTCCTCCTCCTCCTCCTCCTCCTCCTCCTCCTCCTCCTCTCCTCCTCCTCCTCCTCCTCCTCCTCCTCCTCCCTCCTCCTCCTCCTCCTCCTCCCTCCTCCTCCTCCCTCCTCCTCCTCCTCCCCCTCCTCCTCCTCCTCCTCCTCCTCCTCCTCCTCCTCCTCCTCCTCCTCCTCCTCCTCATCCTCCTCCCCCTCCTGGTCTCCCCCTCCTGATTCCCCGCCATCCTCCCCCAAATGTTCCTGGAAGGATGCCCACAACGGCCGGGAGACCACATGGTCCGATAGCTTGGCAGAGCTCTTGCCACAAGGCTCGGCTATATGGGCGATTCCGACAGGCAGGGGGCGGCGGTGAGTTGACGTAGGCGGCTTCGATCACGTCTTTGATAACGTAGGCGTTGAAGTCCCAGGAATGATGTTCTGGCACAGTTCCGAATATTCAAGCGGATGTCTTCCGACGGGGCATTTCCCTCAGTGGAAATGAACCCTTGCAGGGGCCTATGAAGAGAGAGATTGGAGGGAGGGTTTGCTGCAATATCGATGATGAATCTTGGGTTTGCACTGGTCCTCCTCCTCCTGCTCCTCCTGCTCCTCCTCCTTCTCCTCCTCTTCATCCTCCTCCTCTTCCGTCTCCGCCTCCTCTCTGCGCTGCGCCGTGGCCTGGCAGCACGAATGCGGTCCGTTTCCCCTTCGGCCTGGGTCAGGGGCTACGGCCCGCAGGCCTGAGAGAGTTTTGAGAACACTCGTCTTTCTCCACTTGCTTCTGGTGCGTTTCCGGCAGCCTCAGGCTGCCAGACCGGAGCGAGCAACCGTCGAGCATATATTCTTTCAGAGCTGGGCCATGGACTTCCTGGGTGGCTCTCGAAGTGAGGCTTTGTTGGAGTGGACTTGGGAGTGGAGTTCGAACGAACTCTGGTGCCTGTCGTTGTGCAATAGTACTCACGCTCTGGAGTGGCGTCAGAAGCCCACTCGAGACGATTCTCGAAACCCAGCCACGGCGGCTCCAAGCTCCGAGAACAAATCAGAAAGCAGGGCCCACATGCTGAGGCGCTGTAGCCCGGCAGGCCTCGAAGAGGGCCGAGAAGAGCGCCTCCTCGGCGCAGCCCCCGTCCACCTCTGCGACGTAGGTCTGCACGAAGGCGCGCTCGAGGAGGCCGCGCTCGTCGGCCTCCGCCAGCGGGCCGTGGGCGCCCCGCGAGGCGGCGGCGGCGAAGAGGCGGGCGCACTTCAGCAGGGCGCGCCAGGTGAAGCCGGCGGCGGCCGCCACGCCGCGCGCCCACGCGGCGCCGGCCTCCGCCTCGGGGTCCGCCTGCCCCGCGGCCCCGCCCGCGGCCTCGGACAGCGCGGCGCCCTGCAGGTACCTCCACACCGCCTGGGCGGCCACGTGCAGCAGGGACACCTGCAGCGGGAGGAGCCGCAGCCAGCGGCGGCAGGACGAGGGGAGAGGGGGCGGCGGCGGCGGCGGCGGCGGCGGCGGCCACCGCAACACACGACGACGACCGCGACCGCGACCGCGGCCGCGACCGTGACGACGACGGCGGCGACGGCAACGAGTGCGACGGTGACGGCGACGGCAGCGACGACGGCGGCGACGGCGACGGCGGCGACGGCGTCGACGACGGCGCATCCCGGCCCTCCTGCAGCGCCAGCACGGGCCGCAGCGCCAGCTGGCAAGACAGAACACGCGCGGCGTCCAGCAGGAACGCGGGCGGCGGCACGGGCAGCGCGTCCGCGCCTGACAGGAGGCACCATGGCCACTGCCGCCGTCGTCGCCGTCGTCGCCGTCGCCACGCCGCCGTCGCCGCCGCCGCGACGACGGCGGCGGCGACGGCGAAGGAGGGGAAAGAGGAGGAGGAGGAGGAGGAGGAGGCGAGGGCAGCGTTCGGGGAACTCACATGCCATCAGGAACCAGGAACCAGGAGGAATAGGAGGAGGAAGAGGAGTAGGAGTAGGAGGAGGAGGAGGACGGGGAGGAGGATAATGAGCAGATATGGCGCGAAGGTCACGGCCGCCGAAGCCCAGGCCGCTGGCGGCGGTCGTGCGGGCGCCGCCGCCGCCGCAGGTCGGGGCCCATCGTGCAGCCCCAAGGGGGGGGCCTCGTCAAGGGACGGCCCCCGGGGGGGGCGGACATGTCGGAAGCCTCCCGGATGGTGGGCGTGGGGCCTCCAAGAAGCCCGTGGGCCACCCCGAGCGCGGCGCGGCGCAGCGAGCGTCGCGTTCTCGCGGCGCACCACAGCAGAACGCACATCGCAGGACCACATTCGTGAACAGGTCCAGGCGTATGGCACACTTACTGAAATCGCCGTCACTGATGATGGGCGGCATTGCCGCTGGCCTGATGCGCATCTGACGCTCCAGAGTGGATTCACCAGCTTCGAATCGAACAGGTGAGAATGTCGGCAGCTGCATTGATGCAGCCATGGCTGGACTGCTCGCGGGTGTCCCTGCTGTATCGTGGTTAACATGTTGCCCTGCGCGGCTCAGCATTCTGTTGGCCTGACGATCATGATGTCGGCGCTGTCGCGTGGCCTGCATGGCCAAATTGGTTTGCTGCGCCTCGTGCGTGGCCGGGATCTCAGGGCGCACCCCTACCATGGTCGATGGAAGCACTAGGCCTGGAGCCTGCTGCTGCACATCTTGATCCATGGGGGGAGCCAGATAACCATAGTGAGGTATCTCTCCTGGCACACCTGATGCATATCCTGAGCCACACGTCAACTGAGACTGGTAGAAATCGTCGGCCGTCGCCCGAACATATGGATTTTCAGGCTGTGTTCCCACCCGAGCAGTTCCACTCACCCGTGCATGATAATCAGGAAAGAGTGGATAATCCATTGGCGCTGCCTTTGGACGATCAGCAACCGTTGGATCGCAAGTCTGATGGCTGAAGAATGCTGGCACATAACCAAACCGATTGGGGTTGTCCGGTGAAGGACTTGGATCCGGAACATACCCCCACGGCGGCGTCCAGTTGGCAATAGGGAGGTTTATGCCATCCCTCCGCATGCTCTGAGCGGCCTCACGCATCTGCAGGTACATCCATTCGCGCTGACCAACTAAACTTCTCTGTGTGGCGCATTGGTATGGAATAGCAGATTGCCACGCAATTGGACGTGGCGATGCAAATGGCGATGTTGCCTGTAGAGCCTGGTAGAGCTGCGGATCCATACGGATACTTTGGGGCCTCGCCTGCAGACTGTTGTTGCTCCCAGCACTCTGTGGAGTACCAAATGGTGTAGTAGCTCTGCTCATGGGAGCGAACGAAGCAGGTTGCCCTGCAGGGGCTGGCAGCTGTTGAACCTGGGCACGCCACGGATCGTTAGCGTATAACGCGTCAGAAGGCGTAATACCATTCGGCGTAATACCCGTCACATCAGCGCTCGGGACCTGTATCCATGATCCATCAGATCCCCCTGCAAGTGCCCCCGCATGGCATGCGTTCATCATGAGCACATGCGAGAATACAATCGGAAGCGGGTCGGGGCACTTCACGTTGTAGGGGGTATCTGGAATAAACCAATGGCTCAAAGATGATGCATCATTGCGAGTCTCGTACGTGTCATCAATTCTAGTACTCGTGTACGGCTTGCTGTCACCCTTCAAATATAAGGGAATTATCCATACCTGCACCACGCGATTGAGCTGACAAGTGTGATTTGGCAAGATCCCGATCAATTGGACGATGTGAGTGGGATGGATCCTGCCATTACGGCCTGCTGACATGACGATATCATTCGCCGAGCGCCACACCGGAATGTTGTCCCGAATCAAGGTCTTCAATCTAACCATGATCAAGACCTCAGAACCAATGCGTAAAACATATGGGATTCTAGTGTCACCAGGATGGTACGGGCATCCATGCACGAACGGTCTGCCCCTCTTCTTACTGGTGCCGTCGGCGCGACAAGATAGCCCAATGCTGAGAGTACTTGGTATATTCTCCCATTGAGTTCCATGAATGAAATACCGAGGTACCCCAGGAGCTGATAGGTCAGCGATCCTCATGTGTAAGGATTCGGGGCACCCGATGCCAGGGCTGCTGCGCCCGTTGGTCGGGCGGATGAAGTAAGTGTGGTAGGTCACGTCAGAGTACCTCACCTTCTTGATATGCAGCCCGTTCCTTTTCTCATTCCGGACTCGTCCATCATGCCGATGAGCTCCAAGACAGCGTGGGCCTGATACGACCAATGACGATGTTTAAGCAGGCGGCGTACCGTGTCGAGATGCTTGGGGCGGTACCTTTCGCATCATTCTGCAGGCCATGTATCGAGTAGCTGCGATAAGTCTGCCCAACCGTCGCACTCGTCATAAGTCGTAACCTCGCGAATGAATATGTCTGACAAGTGACCATTGTGAAATGGTTTGTGACGGAGGGCTGTTGTCAGCCACTCAGACACCTCACGTTGTTCTCCATACTGGAACCTCGGCCTGCGAACGTTGTCCGCGCTGAGGGTGTTCGTCAAATATTCCTTCTCTGACTCCAACGTGAGGGCGGGGCGCTTCGGCGGGATGTTGCGCACTGTTTGGCGCGCGCGTGCACCTTCGTCAGCGCGGACAGCAGCGTCCACGATGTTGCATTGCACAACCACGCAGCGATCAGCTCCATCATGATTTCGCGGATGATATGCTGGATTGATCTTCGCGCGGTCGCCCGTGCGCACCCTGTCCCAGCATTCCTTGCATTCCGGCGGTACCTCCAGCGCAGGGGCAGGTTGCCCCGCTGGATTGTTAGCAGGTTGCCCCGCAGACCTCGGAGCAGGTTGCCCCGCAGACCGCGGGGCAGCCTGTGGCGCTGGCGTTGCAAGCGTTGCTGCGCTCGCAGCCGATGCGGCAGCGCCGACAGAACCTCTGGGAGTCCTTGGAGTTCCTTGCGGGGTACTGATGTCGAAGTCATGGTGTTTCTTCTCCTTGGTGTTGTAGGACTCGATATCCTTGCCCCTGGGCACTGCTCCTTGTACCTTTGGTGCAGTAGCAAGGAGCTTCTCAGCATGCCGCGTGGAAGACGCATCCCTCTCGAGCGCGAAAGATACCCGTACCCTTACCCAGACGGGGTGGCAAGGGGCCCTCGGGGCATCACCCCCCCTGGGTCCGGGTCGGCTCCCGAAACCACCATACATACCCGTACCTAGACGGGGTGACCCAACCACCGCCCCAGCTGGGTCCGGGTATGCATGGTTGTTTCGGGCTCCGACCCGTACCCAGACGAGGTGGCGGCAAGGCCGAAAACGCTCTAGCGGGCGGCCCTTTTCACCCCAGCTGACCCCGGGTCCGGGTATGTTTTGGGCTAGTGAATCCCTTGTTCTTGCTTCCAAAGTGGGCGCCCATCCTGACCTGTGCGTCCGACCAGGCGCAGGGCCGCGACGTGTCACAAGATCCTTTGGAGCGGGCTTAGCGGTGCCCTGGAATCTGGCTGCTGCGGCGGCCACTGCTGGCCCTCTAGATCGTTGTCGATCAGCGCGTTGCTCAGCAGGTTGTCCCGCATATCTCTTGCTGCCCCAACGATTAGGATCATCGCCTGGGCGATGATCCAAATTCTTCTTGGGCCCAGGATGATCAGGGCCAAGAGATGGGTTCATTGAGCCATAATCAGGATCAGAAGACGAGGGAAGTTCGATCGGTTCTGGCTTCGGCTTTGGCGCTGCCATTGCCGTAGATCCTGCCGGCGCCCCAGAAGAACACAGCGGGCTCGCGCCCGATCCGGTGAGAAACTAGGAGCTCGACCGCGGCGTAACACACGGGCATCATCTCCCTGTGCGTCCTCGTCGTCCATTGGCGAAAGGCTTGGATCGTCGCGATAGCTCTGCTTCCTTATGAAGGGCACGCGGCTTGGCGATTGCCTCGGACTGCTAGCGGACCGATATGACGCAACACAAGTATACTGAAATTCTTCATTGTGTCCAAGCTCATATTGAATACGTTCAGATAGGTCACCAGCGTCACGCGGGCTCCCCCAGAATGGACCATCATCGATCAATTCCGCGTTTGTCGGATTTCCAATCGCCCGAGGATAAAGCATGGCATGTACTTCTTCATGCGCTGCGGGAGTGGTAGAATCAGAGTCCGCGGGCGCCCCCGCCATTCCAAAATCACCTTCGACGGGCACGTGGAAGTTCTCGACAAACTCAATATCTGCAGGTTGCCCCGCGATGGGTGCACCCAGCCTCTCTGCCAAATCGACATCGCTGTGACCAGTGAACACCTCCTCGAACAGCTCGTCTGCGTAATTCCCGAGGTTCATACTGGCACATAAATACCTGGCAGCCATGAAATGAGTGACTGTGGCTGAGCCGCCAGCAGGGTCTGCCACAAGCGACTCCCAGTCGACGCACTGCATTGACGGACCCCTGCCTCTTCCATCGCCTCGGGGGCACTCGCGTCGGAAATGTTGTGCACTGTGGCATATGTCGCACTCCGTGGTTTTACCGTTGGCATCCCTTCGATTTCCTCGTCGCCCTTTACCTTTACCCGATGTATGTCCGCGGCTCCTGCCGGCGCCTAAAAACATTTCTTCATGCTGGGGCCCAGTGACAGATACTAGGAATGCTAGTATGCCTCTACAGTGCAGTCGCCGACGCTTACCTTTGCCTTTACTTCGACCCTTGCCTTTTCCTTGAAGTGTCCGCCGAACCATACGCGTTGCCCTTCTCGAATTCAGAGGAGGAGAATCAACGCGGCGCACTAGGCGCAGCGCTGTCTATGCGGTGCGATGAATTTCTGTTCTCGACGAATTGTCAA